AATCCTGCATTGAAAAACAGACGACTGCGAAGTTTCCGGTGACAGCAAACTTTGTACCAAGGCTAAGAAATACCGTGGACATGGAATGAAGGATGTATAGACATACCAGGAATAGTATAAACGGTACGATGATCCGCTAGGAATATCACAATCTGTTTACATAGCGCACAAGTCCAGAGAGGGAGAGGCCTGGTCCCTTATAAAACTCGAGCTTTGGAATCTTTCGTGATTGAAGATTTGTTCGTTACATTGTAGCATTTCTTGAGATGAATCGAATTGGAGTAGATCACACATTGGTGGTCAAGTCAACCTTGGTTATCATTATCGGGTGAGCGATGTCATTGTACTATCAATTTAGAAATCTGAATATCAAGATACGGTTAGTTAGACATTATACGATTGAACAAAAAAGAACTCAACGTCCAACATCATAGTTTATACTCCAACAAAAAGCCCCCACACACCCTTCGCATAGCTCACAATTTCATCTGCACCCAGCTTACTCTCGCCATAAAGCCTATCCACGAATGTGATGGGTACCTCGCCAACAGTATACCCTAATGCCTTCGCGCGAACCATCATCTCCATCTGGAATACATAACCTTTGGATTGGGTGACAGAAATAATATGTTGAAGAACGCTGCGTTTGTATAACCTGTGGAGCAGCAAAAGGACGAATGTAAACAGAGACTCTTTTAGAACGAGAGCGTCGCCTTCAAAACATTCACCTAAAGCTTCCAGTCAAATCACTGACTCCGGGATTTAACACCGTCGCTGCAAGGAAGTTGGCTCCTCGCGAGACTAACTTGCGCTTGAGGTCCCACCCGTGCACGCCGCCTGGTTTGGCGGTAGCTAACGAAGGTGTGGCAGAGGAGCGGTATCGGGTGCCAGTAACGATGTCAAAGTTGTGGGCTTTCTGTTGTCTGCCAACACAGTAAAAAAGAACAAGAATATGGGAACATGAGATGTAAACATACTGAATAAATTGTGGAATGAACTTGGGCTACTCAAATCGGAAGGAGATTATCAGCATTGGACTCATTAATTTGTGAGATAGAAAAGGAATGTCGACCATTATAAGGGAATGCTGCGAAGAGATAGGTAGGAAATGGAGGAAGATATATACATACATGATGCGAAAAATCAGCGTCCATTATGATCACGAAATCGCCGCGAACGAAGTTCAAACCGTGTATGTAGGCTGTCCTGCGTGTCAATGGTTCAGCGAGCACGTATCAAGCCACGAGAACAGGCAGGAATAAAAGACACCGACCCTAAGCCTAATTTGCCAGCACGCGGCTTCAGAATCTGCTCCGCAGAAGGAAGGACGGGTTGACATTAATGGTCTATGACTTTCGGAAAGAAGCTGGACTTGCAATTTTGTCTTCTCCATACGTTGCTGCAAGTTGCTTGGCTATTTCCTGTGTACCATCTGGACTAGCATCGTCCACGATGATGATTTCCCATGCAAGCTGACTGTATCCGAGCTGGAGTTAGCATATTGCACAGCAAGAAGTTCATACACACTTGTCCGAAAACATCTTCGCCAGCAGCCAGACGATAATGGATAAATTCTTCCTTTCATTATAGGTTGGAAGGATGACAGAGTACATATGGGTATCTTGAGTAGAGAATTGGCCTTGCATATCGAGGGCTGCACTAGACGCAAATGGGTTCATATGATGTTGGCCGGGAACAGTCAGTGAAGGATGAGAATCAGTGCCTATGTAAGGATTGAGCTTGAGATTTATAGCAGGGCGCAAGACATCGGTCTTGGGGGATAAGTATATGATTGCAGAGAAGAGAGAGGACGTGACACGTAGCGGGAGCGTGATTGTACACCGTGTGACTGACGCGCCGAAAGGGGCCTATGCGTTAAACCTGACCGCCATCAGCAAAATCGACTTTTCCTTTATGGCCTCATCTGCGATAACCGAACTGCGCCAACTCCTGAATTCAACTATCCGTATCACCGTTGCTGACGGGCGTATATTCCTCGGGTCTTTCATCGGAACGGACCAACCAATGAACATCCTGCTGACGGATACACAGGAATTGCGTTTAGAGAGCCCGGCAACGGGAGACAACCGAGAAGATAATGAACTTTGCTCTGGACGCTTCGTAGGCCAGGTTTTGATCCCGTGGAAAATCGTGCGGAAGATTGAGGTACAGGAGCCTACTCAGTCTCAACAAAGGACGAGGACGCAACTGGATTATGATGGATATATCCTCTAGGAGGAACATACTAATTGAGAAAGTGCGGTACATACTGCATCGTCCGGATTCTGTCGATGCCTATCTTCTTATGGAGTCTAGGTTTCTCTGTTCGTTGATGAACAGATATGTCTACTAGGTTGCTCCCATATGTGACTGTACGTCTGAGTCACTGTTATTATCCTGTATCACTCAGAGTCCTTTCCATTAACCAGAGATTGTTTATATGCTTGTGACGCATACCCCCTCTCCTAGCGCTCTGCGCATTTGGCCAGCAAAGAAAACGTAGATTATAACCGTTCCAACACAAGCCCAGTCTGGGGTAGATGTACATAAATGGCTTATTTGTCTCATCCCTCCGAACTTTCGCTTCCAACCCAAATGAACTTTCCATTCTTGACATCTTGATTTCGCCTCGAAAATGCAAACGCTTGTGTATCTGCCGCCAGGGTTTCGGGTGATGATTGAATATTGAGGTTTCATCCAGCCAGGATGCGGTCTGAGATCTTGGTCGCTTTTTTTGAAATCCACTCGATAGTTACATGTGCCAGTCCAATTACTTAGAGGATGAAATCTTACCAGCCGAAACTTAGAAAACTGAGGGGGTGACTCATAAGTACAATTACTCACGTGCTGATCAGGTTTTGCAAGCCCACAAGGCGTCCACGAAAGTTGTGAACGAACTGCCAGAAACGTGTGCGACCTCAACCAAAAAGACCAGCTTATTAGCTAGCGGGGCCACAATACTATATCCAAGTATATAAATGACGGACACCTCCTCACTAACACCTTCCCAAACTCGCGCGTTGAACCAACTACGCGACCTGACTAATGGCGGGGACGATGAAGTAGCTATGGGCGTACTGAGCAGTGTTGACTGGGACGTTCAGCGGGCCGCAGAGATGATTTTTGATGGTCAAATAGGAACATCGAGTAGTAGGGCGGGGAGTAACAGAGCAGGGGCAAGCGGTACTCGTGGTAACCTGGAAGACTCAGTCGGAAGACGTTACGAGGAATTTGACGTGGATGACTCCGAACAGGGCTTGCTAAGACCCAGAGAACCAGTGCGCATGTATTTGCTGATAACAATTACTGCTTAGTACTGACGGATAATTTTATGCGTTCTAGCCTCGACAATCTGCTTCTATCTTGAGTTTGATAACCTACCCTTTACACCTCATATCTTCGCTTGTCCGCTTCATCTTCAACTTCTTGCGTATTCCTCTGCCATATATTCCGTTCCTGTCGCTCAATTTTTACCGACGAGCCTCCGGCCGTACAACTATACGGCGTGCTGGCGGAGGGATAGAACGATGGATACGTGAGTTGGAGGAAGAAACTGGCGCTATCTGCGCTGGCTCCTCCGGCTCTGTCGACGCGACAGGTGTCCAAGTGAACGCCTCAATGGATGTATCTGCCGAAGCTGGCCCATCAAGTCTTACCTCCCGACACGCAGCGACCGGTTCAGGCCCAGACAAACTGCTTCCGCCTTTCCAGCTTGGAACATATGATTCAATCCTTCGTCTATGTCAATCTTCATTCAGAATTGGGTGCATTGTTCTTGTTTCAGCAGAGCATGATTCCACGGCAGAATTCAAGAGCTCGACACTTACAAACAATGAACTTGTGCGAATTTTGGTTGAGAACGACGTGATATGTTGGGGTGGCGATATACGGGACAAGGAAGCGTATGAAGCAGGCATGAAACTGGGCGCGACTACTTATCCGTTTGTCGCGTTCATTGGTATGCAGCCGAGCAGAAATTTCGCTTCGTCCTCCGGCTCAACTTCAACGACTGCCAGTCAGTCCAATCCTGCGCTCACGGTCCTCTCACGTCACCTTGGTGCCTCTGCTTGTGCCTCCTCCGCACTGATTACGCATCTACGAGAAACGCTTCTACCCAGGGTAAAACCCTACCTAGACCGAACACGGGCACAGAGAGAGGCAGTAGAAAGGGAACGAACGAGGGAACGCGAGCTACGAGAGGCTCAGGACAGAGCGTTTGAAGAGACCAAGCTGCGGGATAAAGAAAGGATATTGAGAAAGATAGAAGAAGAAAAGGCAGAGCTGCAACGGAAGCAGGCTGAGGAAAATCAGAGGAGAGTGGAGAAGGAACTTCTTGAGCAACAACGTGTCGAAGCCTTGGAACAAGCGGAAGCAAGGGACCGCTGGAGAACGTGGTTCAGGCAGACATTACCCGTTGAACCGACCGGAAACGAGACAATCAGAATTGCAGTACGTATGCCCGATGGTCGTCGACTAATGAGGCGGTTTAATGTGTACGCGGATACGCTGGATACTTTGTATGCATTTGTGGATACTGAGCTGGTCTCTACTTCTGTCTCGTCGTCTTCCTCGCCACCATCTTCCTATTCCTTCGAAACGCTCCATACAATTCTCTCTTCTCACATACCAAAACCCAACGAGTGGTGGGGGTTTATCCTTGTGTCTGCTTATCCACGCGAACCGGTTCCCTGGTCACCTAACACACTCTTGGGTGACATAAAGGCTTTATCTGGTGGTCAGCTTGTCGTTGAGATGGTGAACTTGCGGGTCTTTGGGAACGGAGGGAAAGGGAAAGGCAAGGCGCAAGATGAAGATGGATATGAAACGGAGAGCTCTGATGAAGATTGATTGCCTATTTTTTACTGCTTGAATTTATTCTCCCGCTTTCTATGAGCGACCTGATGGTAATTTATCGCCTGATCTTGGTACGGAGGAATTTAGTCGACATTGATTCAGAGTGAATAGAAATCGTTGAAACAAAAAGAAACATCCCTCAAAAATGATGAGAGTGGGATTCGAACCCACGCCACAATGTGACCAGATAATCTCTGCACATCAAATGTGCGGGTCTCCTTAGTCTGGCGCCTTAGACCGCTCGGCCATCTCACCATGTGTGTATTGCTGTCCAAGTAAAGATATAGGTCAAGAGAGAAGAGAGAAGTAGTTCTTCGACTTACTTACCCCTTCGACTTACTTACCCCTCATGTGAAAGTTTTTCTGGGGTACACCAGTCCGTGTAACACTGCGCGCGAGAACAAAGAGGAGTGCTTGTGAAGCATCCGGCCGCTACCAGATGTAAATGCTCACAAGTGTAAGGTGAGTGGGTTGGCAACACGAAACAACGACGAGAAGGGAGGACGGAGGCGCCTTATGTGGATCGGTCAAAAGAAGTTTGACCGAGGTCTATGAGACGAGTACCACGTGTTTGTACGCGTCATGCAGATTTTTGCCCACAACCGCTACGACTCTTTGACCTCGCATTCTCGACACGTACAACACCTGTAGCGTTGCGGTTTT